GTTTTTTTTGAGTTTGGCTTAGTATAAACAAGGTTGCTATGATAATTTTTCCATAAATCTTTCTGAGGACATATTTTTATTTCTCTTGAACAAATATCCAGTAGTTGAATTCATGGGTCACAATATAGGTGGTTGTTAAATTTTACTGAAACTGCAAAAACTCGTCTCCAAAGTGGTTGTATCTTATTATATTCCCACTCATGGCTCCGAGAATTCCAGTTCCTCCGGTCTTATTAACACTATTGTCAGCTATTTTGATTTTAGCCATTTTAGTGGGTTCTTAGCAGGTTGATTTTGTTGTTGCTGTTGGTGGTGTTGGAAATTGCACTGAATTATACCACTAGCCCTCTTAACAGGTTTCGACACAAAGGCTATCTAAATCTATGTGCAGTGTGTTGAGCAAGTAGGTACTTGAATTTCTCTAGAAGAAAGAACTACTGTTTAAGAAAACCCTTTGATAAGCTTCTTTGAGTGGACAGGGAAGCCCTGAACCCACAGCCATAGCACCAACATTTTAAAATGGCATATGTAAGAAAAGTACAAGCATTTAGGAATATAGTGAGGGATACAGAAGAGATAAGAGAAAGAGGCAGGAAACATAAAGACTGTAGTCCTGAGCAGTAGAAATGCCTGAGGAGCTTTTCAGGAACAAGGACATTTAATATCACATTTTCAATGATCTCCTGTAGATTTCTTCTCTGTGAGCTCCTGTAGGTAGGTCTAGCCACATCCAGGAACTTCAAGGGTTTCATTTGAGCAGTGGGATGGAGAATCAGGAGAAAGGCCTAGCTTTCCTGTTTTTACCATTGTCAGGGCAGAGGTGAGTAAACATCTTCAAGAGGTTGAACAGAAAATAAAATTCAACAGAAATTAAAATTAGAGGTAATTAAAAAGATTCTCATGGGACTGCAGAAATATAAAAAAGTTCCCATGAGCTCTCACATGAATCTTTGTATATGTTAAGGGACAGAGTGACATTAGCAGACAGCCAAAATGAATGAATGAATAAGTAAATAAATAAATAAAATCACTCTAGCTCTGAGGTTTAAATTGTCTGGGAATTTTTTTTTTTTTTTTTTTTGGTGGAACCGGGGATTGAACTCAGGCCCTTGCGCTTGCCAGGCAAGCACTTATTCTACTGAGCTGTCTCCCTGGCCCCTGTCTGGGAATATTAAAAAAAACTTTGCTGGACCCACCCCTGGGGTGCACGGAGATGGCCATTGAGACTGGGCATGGTGGCACGCGCTTGTAATGCCAGCTCTTGGGAGGCTGTAAACAGGCAGATCACTACTAGTCCAATCTAGTAGTGAGATCCTGAACACCGTGTAGACCCTGCCCTAAAAAAAAACATTGATACCTGAATCCACTTCTCAGAGGTTCTAATTCACTCATCACCTGCATGGGCTCTGGTAATCATAAGTAGTCTAATGATGTAGTCAGAAGTTACAAAGGAAGCAGTACAATACAAGACACTTAATTTATAAAATTACTTTATAATTGTCACCCAAAGAGTCATATACAAAGAGAGTGCAAGGGGGGCCGGGGAGATGGCTCAGTGGAATAAGTGCTTCCCTGGCAAGCACAAGGGCCTGAGTTCAATCCCCGGTTCTGGAAAAAAAAAAAAAGACCAACAGAAATAGACAATACAGTTATCCAAAGAGAGTGCAGGATATCTGTCTGCACATTAAAGATCAAAAGAATCCAAATGAGGGCCTGAATTTCTAGGCAATGTTCTGCATGAGTACAGCTAAAGATCTAGAGTCTATAGCCATGTTCTCAGTGATTCCAGCTGGAGACCAAGAGACCATGACAATGTCTCATGGAAGCCTATTTCAATGATCTGCACTGGGAAGTCCCCAAAGTCAGTTCTGGAAGCTAGAAAATCTGTGCCAGCAGGCTGAAGGATCTGTACTAGCAGGGTGAGAGATCTGTACTAGAATCAGGAAACAATGCACAAGGTAAGGACCAGGGCTCCCTTGAAAGGTACCACAGCCATTCTCAGCAAAAATGTGGTCCAGAGCTCCTTCAAAGATGAGGAAAGCCAAATGCACATCAAGAAAGCCAGCATGACAAGCTTCTCCAGGACACTGAACCATGCGCCATCTTCCCTTCCAGAGCCAGGAAGTGATGCTCAAAGTAAGGACTAGAGTTCCCCCAAAGTGAACCATAGCCATTCTCAGCGACAACAAGGTCCTGAGCTCCTTCAATGATGAGAGCAGCCATATTCATATCAGGAAAGGCTGCAAACAAGGTCCTCCAGGAGAACTAACAGCTCCCTCACAGCTTCTCTTCTTTCCCTCCAGTCCTTTTGATTTTGTTGGCAACAATCCTCAGGTGACCCTCCCACACCCAGCGCCATACTGGTTCAATACAGCTAGGTGTTACAAGTTGACCACCAATTTTCAATCCATCACAAATGAGATACCAAGATTAAGAATCACTGAATCACTGCTTTAGCTATAAGCCATGGAAATGGGGCCTATTTGAGTATAAACTATGCTTTCAGGAAAATCAACTAAGTATGTATTAGTATCAAGTGTCATTTCTTCATTTCCTGTAAAGTTTGTATTAACATCTCCAACTTTCAGATCTGAAAGAAAGAAATACTGTAAAATTAAACCTAATCCATAAAATTATTTAAATGCCATCTCTGAATACGCCAATGTCTTTAGACTTTATTAAGGACCTAGCACCTGGCAAGTCCAAGTACTTAGAACAAGACACTATTAATATTTAAGGAGATAAATGACAACCTAAGAAACAAAGATTGGTTCTTCAAGAACCAATTTCTGAAATAAAAATATGAACATGTATTATAATCTTATAAAAGTAATACACTTGATTGTAGAAAAGATAAAAGTACAGAAATTCCTAGAGATAATCACTATATTTGGAAGGTTGGGGATATATATTTGCATGCCTGGGGCTGGGGATTTGGCTCAGGGGTAGAATGTTTGCCTAGCAAGCTGGAAGCCCTGGGTTTGGTCCTTGGCACCAAAACCAAAAAATAAACCTCCCCTATACTTGCATTTTTTCCCTATTTCATATACACATATGCTACATATGAAGGTATGTGTATCTTGGGATCACATTATGCGTATTTATTTCTAACTCAATACCATGTCTTAAATGTTTTTAGGGGCCGGGGAGATGGCTCAGTGGAATAAGCACTTCCCTGGCAAGCGCAAGGGCCTGAGTTCAATCCCCGGTTCCGCAAAAAAAAAAAAAAAAGTTTTTAATCAAGTTCTTATAAAACATTTTAATGGCTAAATACATCCTATAATATGGAGGTATGTTATAATTTAACTTATTCTTTATTTTAGGCGGATTGTTTTTAGTTTTTTAATATTATAAACAATGCTTTGATGCATCTTTTTATATAAAAGTATGTATTTCCTGTGCCTTGCTGATAGCTTTCTTAGAGTAAATTTCAAGAAATAGAATTTCCATGTTAAAGATAATGTGCTTCTCTAAGGCTTTTTTGATACATTACCAAAGAACAGAAAGTCTATTCCACTTCCCAAGAAAATGGGGCTTGTTTTGTGTCCTCACTACCAATAGGTATTAGCATTTTTGAAATATAGGTTTTTATTTTACGTTGCACATTTTCATTTTGATTTTAGTTTTCAGTGCTGAGGGTCAAACCCAAAGCCTCTTATGTGCTAGGCAAGTACTCTCCCACTAAGCTATAACCTCAGCACTGTATATTTTCAAACATATGGATTAGCTAAAAGAAATAAGGAAAAGGTATTGTTAAGAATTGTGATGTAGATGAAAACAGTAGAAATTCTTCCATATTCTCAGTTTTGAAATTGTGTTCTTTTATTTTTGCGAACTCTTTATCCAAGGACTTATATGTGGAATCTTCTTAAATTGGATATATTTCTTGGATGTAAGATAACTTTTAGATTGTGTTTTATAAATTTATCATGCTAAGGAAATCATAAACTCCACTGATGCAGCCCTAAGTAGATTGGTGAACCAGTCAACTGCCACTTTACTCATTTGTAGTCTTTCCTAATTTTATTACCCTTAGAATTAGATTTTAAAAATTGTTAGACAGTAGCCTGTCACCAAGTTCACTGGAGATCTGGAAGCTTCTTTGAAAGACCTTTCACTAAACAAAAAATGGTCATCTTGTGTTTAGTTTGACTGGTGGAGGAATCTTGGCTGGTCAGCACAGGAAATATTCACATTGTGGAAAGGATCTGAAGGAAGAAAGGAAAAGAAGTTACAGTTAATCATGGGGCACATGAGTCAGCTTCACTTTGAGGATTTACTCTGAAGTGGAGAATTCAAAAAACATGGGAAGCCCTAGGGATGGGGAAGGAGAAAGCTATTAGTTGTCAGAATAATTTTCTTTCAAGAAAATAATTCCTTTCTATACGAACTGACATAAAAAACCATCTGAATGTTGAGATTACTAAACATTTCAGAATGCTCTTTTCACTCCAAGGGCTCTTCTGGATAAATACAAAATAGGTGTGCATCTGGAGCAGCTTCGAGGGCTTCAGAATTTGATATTCAGACAGACCACAAAAGAATGACTCAGATACAATATGTCAAAATTTCTCCTGAGATTATGGAAGTTCTCTATGAGAGAACGATTCGTTTTCATTTAATACTACAAATGAGTGTGTTAGTGGTTGGGACATCAAAATGGGATTTAGGATTCTTTTCTCTAGTTTGCCATTAGGCTTTTGGTGACCTTGGGCAACTAAGTTTTGCCTTTAAAAAATGTTATTTCAAAAATAATTAAGAGATGCCAAGAAGACATTTAAGATTTTTTTTTTACTGGCAGAAGGATATGTGAAATGCACCAAACAGTTGAAAATTTGTTATTGAAAACATCTGATGATTGACTTTCAAAATGAGAAAAATAATTCTGCTTTTATATTTGAACAAGCTTTATTCCATACCTTGGCTAAAGCAATTTAATAACAGTTCTTAAAACTGTAAAAGCTGCTGCATTTATTGAAAGGCTTTCTGACATCTATTTTTATCATATGACGAGTGCTGTTCTTGGCAAGCCCTCAGTAGTGTCCCCTGTGATTGGTCTGCCAGAGTAATTTGAGAGTAAATATTTGGAGGTGTTAACATTCCCAGAAGGATTTTATTAACTAGGTGCTTATATATGGTGCTAGTTCAGGCTATCTCATCTGAATGTTGCTTTCAACTTCATAATTAGGACCCAATTATAATGCTATAGTGGGGATAGAATCAAAAAGCACCTTGTAGGCACATTAGGCCACAGCATACTTTCTGCCTGTGGCTATCGTGTTCAAGGGGACGTGACTCACCCCTAAGTAGAATGGCACAAACCTGTAGCAAACAGCACTAATGATAGGCTAGGCACTGCTAGTTGCTCCTCACTCATTTATGTAATATGCACAACACCCTGGAAGGCATATTGCAATTGTAAGGTGCTATTGTTCTCATTTGATATACACGGAAGCTGATGCCACAGAGGAAGTCATTGATTCCAAGTCACCAAGGGCTGCAGCAAAGATACAAATCACTGGACTCCAGAGTTCATGCTTTCAGTTGTGCCATGATGCTTCCCCAGGGTACCATGGTGCGTACTGAGGCACACACAGTCTTCTGGATAACAGTGAAATAATCATCCTGCATTTAAAACTGCGAATGGCATTCTTTTGCTGCTGCTGTACCCTCATCCTTGCTGATGACATCTGCTAACTGCATAAGCAAAACTTTAAACCAGGCATGGTGCGATAAGCCTGTAATCCAGGCACTCTGGGAGGCAGAGGTAGAAGAATCACAAGTTTGAGCCCTGGTCTGGGAAACTTTGTGAGACTTTGTCACAAAAAGAAAGAAGAAAGAGACAGTGATGGAGGGAGGAAGGGAGGGAAGGAGGAAGGGAGGGAAGGAGGGAGTGAGAGAAAGAGAGAGAGAGAGAGAGAGAGAGAGAGAGAGAGAGAGAGAGAGAGACTGGGATGCCCCTCACTGTGAAAGCCCTGATTTAACCCCAGTACGAAAAGAAAAAAAAAA